TTAGATTCTACACAAGTTTTACATTTATATTCATCATTTTCTTTATAAGATATTAAGTCGAATTTTAACATTCGTTTCATGATACTCTTATTTTTATGATCTAATCCATCATGCCATAACGAAAATGAATCAATCAAATAAGTAAATTCTACTTTATTATTAATCAACTTGTCAACTGTACAAAGCTTGATCATTTCTTCACTAAAATAGCATTTTCCAAAAAATTCCCTATTTAAGGATAATACAAGTTTACCGAACCCATAAACATTTTTATGTCCGATTTTCCTAATAAGTTCCAATTCATATCAAGAATATATATTACATTTGTTAAGGTAACGGAATTACCGAAAGTGAAGATAATCTCTACATTTCCTTTTCCAATCACTTTAGAGCGACATTCATTACTCATTTGAATCTCTTGATCTCCATTCACTTCATAATAAGTCTTTAATAAAGATTTATCATATGACACACGTACAATTGCACATATATCATAGCACAAACCGGGAACCTTTCCCTTGATAGCATTAATCTCACTTACAGTAGCCACAATATTATCGTCTTTGATGGAATTCTCCTTTCCTTCGAAATTGTTTCATTTTCGATGATGTCCGGATTTTTCACATACAAAGTAACATCCCTTGGATTTCTTCTTAAACTTGCAAAAATGTTTAGAAGGCTTTCTCTTATTAGATTTGTTTGAAGGTTTGGCCTTCTCCATGGTATTAGCCTTTGAAGTGCCTTCATAAGAATTGTCATTTTTATATCTTGTCCTTGACTCTTCCTCAATTCGAAGATGTTTCTGAACTTGTTCCAAAGGGTAATCTTCGGAACTATGCATGATTATCTTCCGATATCCTTCCCAAGTTCCCAAGAATTTCACAATGATTGCTTCCATTTGGAAAGATTCGGAAATTTCAATTTGTTCTCATTCAACTTGTTGACAAGAACTTGCAATTCATAAACTTGGGGAAGAAGTGGATATTTTCAAGGAATTTAAAACCAAAATACATAGATATGAGAAATTTCTTTGTATCTTCTTCGGCTTTATAATTGTTTTCCAACGCATCTCAGATGTCTTTTGCTGAAGTTGTGTTAGTGTAGAGATCAACAGGTCTGATTATACCATTGAGTATGTGATTGTGATAAATCAATTCATCCTCTTGACGCTTTTGGATGTCTGTCCTTATTGCTTCGGTATCTTCGTCCATTGCTTCCGCAAGCAGTGCCAATTCGAGATCAAGAATGTAGAAGATCTTCAATGTCGTTAGGAGAAACTTTAACTTGTCTTGCCACCTTGTAAAATTTGTCCCATCAAAACGGTCCAAATGAACAAGATCTTGATTCATCAACTTGATTGTCACCATGGTAGTTTCATTCTCCATTACAGAGTATCGCTTGAGATTGTTATTGTTTGATGAATACTATCCTTCAAGGGAATGAAGAAGACAACAAAAAAAAAGAATCAAGAACACTAAATATGGTAAAAAGGCTAAACGGAATCGTTGTCCTTAAATGATATTTGTCCCATCTAGGATTTTATTGGTGCTTAAAGGGAATCTTGGCAAATGGTTTGTAGGATTGGTCAAGGCTTGAAGAAGAAATACTTAAGCACTTGTATTTATCTTCTAAAGCTTGAAGAACACTTTAAATGTTTGAATATGTAATGAATTGGATTTAAAAGCACTATAATATGATTTTGATTGTTGATTTGTTATTTTTGTAATTGAAATTTATCACATATTTATAGATTTCAATTTATCATCAACGAAATATTGTCATACTAACATGAAAAGTTGAGTATTTTCATGAAAAGCCACCAAGAATCAAACAAGAAAAATCAGCCTGACGGCTAGTTTTTGCCTATGCGTATGCATAGTATAATCCGTGCATACCTATGGTGGACAGAGACGGACCCAGCACCCGGCGACGGGGGGCGGCCGCCCGTGCTGGATCAGTCGGGAGCTTCAGTTTTCTCCTGGCGCCGGAAGCTTGAACAGTTGAATTGCAGAGAGGCGCCGAGTGGAAGAACTGAAGAAGATGAGCAGGTTTTCAAATTGGGTGATTTTTTAGTTTTAAAGTTTTGGTCCTCTTGATTGGGCCTTTTTTTCAAAAAAAAATTAGGCCCAAATCTTAATTTCAAAATCACTTAACAGGTCCAAGCCCATTAAACCATTTACCACTATCCCAATTCCCATGCCAAATACGTTCCAAACGCAGCTGAATCAGGCAAACCCTCATGTTGGCTACTGCCTTGCGGCTGTGAATGTAAACTACGAACTCAGCCTCTGCGACTGCGATGGCCGGTGCGTGCGTTGCAACCGGTGAGTGACATGAGTCTGTCTGTGACCTGCTCATTTTTTGTATTTTGTATTTGTAAAATCTACGTTACCTGTTTCGAGTATATTTTGGTAGCAT